TCAGGGGTTTAGGGTGTAGGGTTTGGGACTTTGGGTTTAGAGTTTAAAGGCTTGGGGCTTTGGGCTTTAGGGTTTGGGACTTTGGGCTTAGAGCTTGAAGGCTAATTAAGGAATTTGGGTTTAGGGCTTGGAACCGTAGGGTGTTTTTATGCCGGATTTTAGCTAAACCCTAAACCCTGAACCCTAAATCCTCAACCCTAAACCCTAAACCCTCAACCGGGTTCATGGTGCATGGCTTCGGGCGAGCCCGGGATGATCAGATTTGTGGCCCTTCGTTGCAGCCTCCGAGCTTCAGGATCTGGGCTTGGAGTTTAGGGTTTAGGATAGCTCATAGGGTATAGGGTATAGGGTATAGGGTATAGGGTTTAGGGTTTAGGGTATAGGGTATAGGGTTTAGGGTTTAGGGTTTAGGGTTTAGGGTTTCGGGTCGAGGGTTCAGGATTTAGGGATCCAGTCAAGTCAAAGGAAACTACAGGTGGGGAGTTTAGGGTATATAGGGCTTCTACAAGGCTTCCATAATTATATAGACCTTCTATAAGGTTGCTATAACGGTAACTACCCAATTGAAAATGTCCTGGATCTAGACGTATTTAATTGGCGGGTAAGCTGTTCTTTCAAGTGGAGAGAGCAAGGGATTTAGGCATTCAGGGGATAAACATGTGCGGGTGTGTGTGTGTGTGTGTCCTAAAGCCTGTAAGCCGTAGTGGGAAAATGCTTAGACCCGTGATGCCCTGAACAGGACCCTTATCTCTAAACCCTAAACCCCTAGCCTCCACAACCCTTATCTCTAAACCCTAAACCCTAAACCCCTAGCCTCCACAACCCTTATCTCTAAACCCTAAACCCTAAACCCCTAGCCTCCACAACCCTTATCTCTCAACCCCAAACCCCTAAACCCCTAGCCTCCACAATAACGGCATCCCCTGTCTTCAGCAGAACTGTCGCCAACCGTTGGTCGGATCCTCAGTGGGCTCGTCTTGTACGAGGGATCTCCCAAAACACCAAGAGGTTTAAGGGTTCTGGGCTTTAGGGTTTAGGGTTTAGGGTTTAGAGTTTAGGGTTTAGGGTGATGCACCCCAAAACCTTCCAATATCATTTGATATCTATACCTTTAAACCTCACTAGGGAGCCTGCTTTAACTTAAGTTGTACTTCTTGATTAAGGGATATTGGGAGGTCTTTGACCTTACTGCATTGGGTACTCGGCCTTGGGTTAGACACGGGGCTTCATGTCGCAGTTTACGGTCTATTCGGCAGTCACGGGGTATTGGGCTCCCTCAACCCTGAATCCAAACCCCCTAAAATTAACCCTAAACCCTAAACCCTGAATCCAAACCCCCTAAAATTAACCCTAAACCCTAAACCCAAAATCCAAACCCCCTAAAACTTATGGAAATCAGGGCATTCTTAGAGTCGGGATCCTGGGGTTGCGAGTGGCTTTGCTTAGGATTTACCTAGTTGGGCTCAAAACTTAAATTAAAGCCTATAAACACTAAGCCCACTAAAACCCTACGGGCTGAACCCCCCCAAAGATAGGGCTTCTAGAAATGCTTCTACAGAGTTTCCGCACGCTTTCCTATGAGGATTCCGGGGCAACCTGTCGCCTGTCTCGAAGCAAACCTCTACGCGTCACCGCCTACGGGGATTTGTTTCCCGAACCCTCCAGGTACCTACTATATAGGGCCTTAGGGGCTCTAGTACCCCATATAGTAGGTATCTGGGGGGTTAGGGTTTGTTGAAATCCAAAATGTGCCTTTTGAAGGCTCAGGAATAAAGCCCTAAACCCTAAACGAATTAATACGGAGCCCTGAAAAGACAGGCTTCATAGGGTTCCGGTCAACCCTGACCCCCTAAACTGAAGGCTTCTGGTCCTAACGACGGAGTTGACGTACCGAATAGCCCAGCCGCCTACGCAAAACAAAGGTAATTAAGTTTTATGTGTATATATGAATACACGCATACATGTATATTTATTTATCTACAGAGTGTGCGTCTGAAGAAATGAACAAACAAAGGAATGAATATATTGAATACATGTGTATAAATATTCAATACATGTGTGTATACCGGATATACTTGTATGAATATGCATCTGTGTATCTGTAAACGTGCATGTCTGTATATAAGTGTACTTATTAACTTGTTTTGTGTTTATATGAATTTGTATCATGTCGGTAGCTGAGCTTCTGGCAGGTTACCGTCGACCACACTAAACCCAAAACCCTACCTGAACCCAAAGAAACCGACCGTTTTAGGGTTCCTTGATATGCTTTCCTTATAGAAGTCCCTAAAGAGGTAGGGTTCTTAGGGGCCTGGTTTCGTATAAGACCAGATCTCTGCCAGTGAGGGGCTGAACTTCTGCAAGACGACCTCGTAAGCTGTCTCCTCCTTCAATCATGAGACGGTTTAGGCTCAAAAGACCTAGCTATTAGGTGCTTGGGCTTGGGCTAGTAGTTTTGTAGATTAGTACTTGGGATGGTAAGGTAGTTGGACCCTCGGGTAAGTCTAGACCCTGACCTCCATGCGAGGATGGCTGTATGTTCGGGTCCAGTCGGGGGTTTGGTGTCGAGGGGCCAAACACTGGATCAACTAAACCCTCAACGCTAAACCCCTAGACCCCAAACCATATGACAAGAAGCTACATGAACCTTGTGGCCTGCCCCTTCTATCCAACTCCCAACCTTTCTGCTGTTTGTTTGGTCCGTCTACCTGCAACTGCAAGTGGTTTAGGGTTTAGGGTCGGTCTCCATCTATCTGATGGCCAGCTCGTGTATCTTGCGTACTACAAGTAGAACAAGGACAGGACTGTAAGGGACAATCTTACGTTCTATCCAGGCCTCTATATACCTAGCTGGTCCCGTAAACAGCACCAGGACATACTATTGATGGACAAAATTCTGCATGACCCAAATATAGTATAGCACCATAAATCCCATAGTTTAGGTATATAAGGTCATGCAGGATTTTGTCCATCAACCGTACTACTGATGGGGTTTGGCGTTCCAAGGTTCCATAGGGCGAAGGTTGCTGCAGCTGGGTTTTACTCGCGCGAACCCATGTAGAACTCCTCATTCTGAAATGCTTAAAGACGCATAGGCGCGTACAGACGCCGTTACCTTAGGAATCCCAAGAAATTATACCAGCCTCGACCCCAAACAGCAAGTGGGAGACAAATGGGAGACAAGTGGGAGACAAATGAGTGGCGGCTTTTAGAGTAGTGCCGTGAGAAATCC